CAAAAACCGGAAAATAACAAGTACCAGTGAGAACACGGAGGAACTGGAACCTGTGCACACTGCCGGTACACAAAGGAATGTAAACGGTATTGCTGCTAAGGGAAATTGCAAGGGGGCTCCTCAAAAACTTAAAAACAGAATTACCACATTGTGGAATCCTAAGCAAGAAGGGGCCCCAGGTGGGGGAAAGCAATTCTCCTGAGACACAGCCAATCACAGACCACCCACTGGCACAACATCCAGTTCCCAAATACCTCGTTCAGCACACAGCCCAGCAGAGTGACCTGACCTGCACATCTTCTCTGCTCACAGCCCCTTTGGTAAGACCCTATAAAAGCCCCTCCCACCCCCACTCTGCAGACAGCCCCTTCTCTGCTGTGCTGCCTGCCGTACTCCAGCAACTTTATCTTCCCATTTTCTCTAACAAATCTTCCCTCTTTACCTATGACTGTCTTGGTAAATTTTTACCACTCACTAAGCCAGTCCCAGCCAGTAACACCCATGACACATATGACCCAGCAGTTACACTGCTGCAGATACAGCCAGAAGAATTGAAAGCAGGGTCTCAGAACAGACATTGTACATCCATGTTCACAGACACATTGTTCACAAGTCATACTCGATGTCACTGATACTCTTGGAAACTGTGACTTTAAGTGAAACCACATACAGCACGTCCTTAAACAATTTCGCTTCCTTCTTTGTTACAGGTTCTGAAGGTTGCAGTTTCCAAGAGCTCATGAGGTTAAGCGAGGCCCTACAGTAACTAAAGACTGCAAGTGCCTAGGCACAGTGGCGCCCAGCAGTAATCCCAACACTGTGGGAGGCCGAGGCCAGCAGATCATTTGAGGACAAGAGTTGGAAGGATTCTTAGCAGGACCCATTTAGGGTTAAACAACTTTTATCTGGGGTCTGAAGAAACTCCCCAGGCCTCCACATACAAGTTTATTGGAGGTCTGAAGGAACTCCCCAAACCTCTGATTCAGCAGGAGCCAAGATAAGGGTGATCATCCTAGCACCTGGACCCCCTCAAATTAAGTAAATTTACTGAGGCTCCAGAGGAAGATCTTCAGGACTCAGACCTTAATTATAGATTTAAAAAAGTTAATCGTTTATATCTTTAGATGAATGCATACTTCCACGTAATATAGCTTAAAAGGTATATAAGCTCTGGAAATCTTTGTAACTTGAAGTTGGTCTGGCAGTAATTTTCAAGCCTTCTCCCTATAACCAGTTACAGAAATAAAAACTCTCTTCCAGCCAGGCGTGGTGGCTCATGTCTGTAATCCCGGCGCTTTGGGAGGTCGAGGCGGGTGGATCACCTGAGGTCAGGAATTCAAGACCAGCCTGGCCAACATGGTAAAACCCCATCTCTACTAAAAACTCAAAAATTAGCTAGGCATGGTGGCATGTGCCTGTAATCCCAACTATTTGAGAGGCTGAGCCAGGAGAATTGCTTGAACCCAGAAGGCGGAGGTTGCAGTGAGCCAAGATTGTGCCACTGCACTCCAGCCTGGGCAAGAGTGAGACTTTGTCTCAAAAAAAAAAAACCAAAAAACTCTCTTCTTCCCCAGTTCATCTGCATCTCATTATTGGGTGGTGAGAAACAGCAGCCCAAGCCAGGATTGCACCACTGTGCTCCAGCCTGGAACATATAGCAAGACTCTGTCTCCAAAAACAAAACAAAACAAAAACCTGGAAGCAACCCAACCGACAGATGATGGATAAGCAAAATGGAGTAAATACCTACACGGATAATGGACAATTCAGCTTTAAAAAAGAAATTCTGACATATGCTACAACATAAATATACATTGGGGATATTATGCTAAGTGACAAAAGGGCAAATACTGTATGATTCCACTTCCATGAGGAACAGAGTAGTCAAAAGACAGACAAGAGAATGTGGTTACCCAGGGCTAAGCAGAAGGGGAATGGAGTTATTGTTTAACGGATACAGAGTTTTAGTTTTACAAGATGAAAAGTTACAGAGTCAGATGATGGTGATGGTGGCACAGCATTAAGAACGTATTTAATACCACTGAACTGTGCACTTAAAAATGGCTAAAGCGGTCAATGTTATTTTATGTATACTTTACCACAACTTTTTTTAAAGGCTAATGCTGCCAGGTGCTGTGAATTTTTTCCACTCATCCTTCACAACTACCTTTTGAGGCAGGTTAAAATTATCGCCTTTTTTAAAGAAGAGGAAATGCAGGTTAAGAGCAATTAGGTGTCTTCCACTTCAGCTTCCAAGATGTGATGATGGCAGACATGGCTTTTAAATTCTACAGCCAGAATCTCAAGATGGGCAGCCTACCTCCAGAGAAAGCAAAACAAGATTCTCTACTACACTGGAGCTCACATTCTTGTAGAGATAGACACAAACAACAATGTTAAGAGGATTAAAAGCTTTCATACCACAGTGACAGATGCCAAATACCTTTGAAAGCAGGTACACAGCTGAAAAATGCAATAACCTTTAGTAAAGACAGCTATTAGAGCCTTCCCTGCTCTGAATGGAAAGGGCACAGAACACAGTAAAGATCCTTTGAGAACTCCAAGAAAGGGCAATCATGTAGAAAGAGAAATTGGGGGTGAAATTTTGAGGCAGTTTATTCCCAGCTAATTGACTGAATACTACCTGGGCAAGTATTTGAAGGATCTGTATTTGGCTACATGAGGATATGTGTAATGAGAATTGGCTTATAAAGGGATTTTTATCCAGAAATGTTAGCATATGTAGTTTTGCAACAAGTTCAAATTCCCGCTGGAAATTTGTTAAATACCACCGGTCCTTTGCATCCTGTTTCTAGCAAATCTTTATGTATATTGCTTCATCATGTAGAGTGGCATAATTCAAATTAAAATGGGAGAATGGGAGTAAAAAGAGAACGAGATATTTAGAGGATGACAACTTTCTGACTTTAAATTTTCACTTCTTTACCTGCTTCTATTCCACAGGGCAAATAGCTTACAGTATCTATTTGATGAAGGGGATTAAATAAATGAGTACTTTAAACCCTTAAAATGATGCTTGAGAATAGGCATGGTGGCTCATGCCTATAATCCCAGCACTTTGGGAGGCTGAAGTAGGTGGATCAGGAAGTCAGGAGTTCGAGACCAGCCTGGCCAACATGGTAAAACCCCGTCTCTACTAAAAATACAAAAATTAGCAGGGCATGGTGGTGCACACCGTCACTGCAGCTACTCAGGAGACTGAGGCAGGAGAATCGCTTGAACCCAGGAGGCTGAGGTTGCAGTGAGCCAAGATTGCGCCATTGCACTCCAGCCTGGGTGACAGAGCAAGACTCCATCTTGGGGGGAAAAAAAAAGAAAGAAAGAAAGAAAAATGATGCTTGACACATAACGGGTGCTCAGTAAATGTTGGCTGTCATTATTATTAATTTAGTACAGTGACATATTATTTAATAATTGAGTCAGTTTCCTCACCTGTAAAATGAAAATAACATTGTAATTTCTTTGCAGTCTTTGGGATAATAAAATACACTGAATACCAAGCATTTGCAGCTTTGCTATGATCATTCACACCGCTACACTGCAACTCAGTCTCCAAGGAGGTCCAAATAGCCCTATTAAGACTGTATTGGCCGAGTGCGGTGGCTCATTCCTGTAATCCCAGCACTTTGGGAGGCCCAGGCGGGTGCACTTGAGGTCAGGAGTTCAAGACCAGCCTGGCCAATATGGTGAAACCCTATCTCTACTAAAACTATAAAAATTAGCTGGGCTTGGTAGTGTGCGCCTCCAGCTACTCGGGAGGGTGACACAGGAGAATTAGTTGAACCTGGGAGGCGGAGGTTGCAGTGAGCCAAGATGGTGCCACTGCACTCCAGTCTGCGTGACAGACAGTTTCAAAAAGAAAAAAAGACTGTATTATTACTTTCCTGAGTCCTAGGCACTTTTGCCTTCAAAGGCCCCTTCCTCTGTAGGTTATTAAAAATCGTATTTTAAGATTGCACTGGTATAAAGTGAATATAATACAGGCTGAATTAATGATCATCGTCATAAACATTATGGCCTTTTTAAAAAAGAAATGTAAATTAAAACATTTTTGTGGACCCCTAAAACTACCACGGGCTGAGACTAAGGCAGGAGAATCGCTCGAACCCAGGAGGCCGAGATTGCGGTGAGCCAAGATCTTACCATTACATTCCAGCCTGGGCAACAGAGTGAGACTCTGTCTCAAACAAAAACAAAAACAAAAACAAAAGCAAACCAAAAATGCCTGCATCTCATCACTGGGCGGCACGGCACCTTCTGTGCCTAAGCTGGCCCTGAGCCTCTCCACGCACCTGCGCGTGGCCTGTCTCACCCTCCACGGCGTGGGTGGGCCCCCAGCAACACGACCTCGCCGCCGTGGGACTCGAGCCCAGCCTCCGGGCAGGCGGGACGCACCGAGAAGCTGTTGCCCTAGACACACAGCTTCGGCTCGGTACCTTTCCAGCCTCGGCTTCATCCGCAAATTAGCACCAGTGGCGACAGCGAATAACAACGCTGTGTAAACGCTAATAACGCAAACGCGGCCGGCCCGACCTCACACGGCTCGCGCTCCGTCTCTCGTCCCCAGCCCCGAGCCCACCGTCCGTCCCCGCTCCCTCCGGATCCCACCAAGGTCACCCAGGCAGCGTCCTCCCATCTCTCGCCCCGCACCCGCTTCTCGCCCGTTCTCCCAAGGCCGGCACCCACCAACAGCCTGCGGAAAGCCACGAGCGAGGAAGCCCCCAAATCCGAGTCGGGTGCCCAGGCGGCGGCCAGACAGAGCGGCCACGGCAGTAAGCGAAGCCCGCTGCAGCAGACTCATAGCCGCCATGGCTACTCCGGGCAAGCGGAAGAAGAGAGGCGGGTCACGGAAGCTGAGAGAGCGAATCTACCAATGAGGACAAAGGCAGGAGGTGACCATCTTAAGTGAGGGCAAGAGCCTGTTTCTGTTCCCTTCACGGTGGGCTGGGACGCCGGAAGTGACGCCGTCGTTGGCGGAAACGCGGTTTGCGGAGTTAGGCGAAAACATGGCTGCCGCCGGTCTGGCGCTTATTTGCAAGAGAGTTTCAGCCGCCCTGAAGGCGTCCGCGTCGTTGCTAACTCCGCAGGTCCCTGCCTGCACAGGGTAAGTGATGCATAAAGTCAGTTTGCCCACCTCTCCAAGTTTGAATCTTGTTTCGTTGCCGAGATGCCGAGAGGCCGCCCGGATGACGGCCGGAGCCCACCTCGCTGGGGAGTGACCTTGGAGAAGCGCCCACCTCCGACGTCGCCGCCCCTTCCTCGTTTTGTGGCTGCCTGCTGTGCACCAGGCAGTATGTAGGGTTTGTAGCTGTCCCGCATTTGTTGAAGGAAATAAACCTGTAACTGCAGAAGCATCCTCTGGGGATGGGTGAGGTGGGAAAAACTTCCCCGAAGACGTTTTTGTTACGATACCCAAGTCTGTGTCAGGTTTGGATGGATTAAAAAAGAAGAGATATTTGTATTTACAGGATGTGTTACAATGAAAATAGCAAATGCACCGGAAGTCGCCCTGCAGGCGTGAGAAAGAAGCAGCCACAAAGTGGTGTTCATTATTTCAAGGTGGAAGACAACTCTCGTCTGGACAGAGCGAGCTCATGTTTTACTTTAAAAGCGTGTATGGTTTCCTGCCCTTTACTGGCGTTTGTCTATAGAGTTGAATTTCATAAACAGTAGAGCAGGTCAGATTTTTTAAAAAGGAAGCGGCGTATTTGCTCTTGAATACGCAAGCAGTTATTGAGCATCTGTTGTGCGCTGATTTAATATTACACTAACCTCAGAGATAAGCATTTTTTTTCTTAATTTTACAGAGCTCAGAGGTTATAACTTGATCAAGGTGGTGAGCTTAGATCAATTATCTCCTACTTCATCATCATTTTTCCTTGTAAATGAAATAATTTAGCGTTTTAAATTATCAAAAGATGAATGTATGTATGTTCATTTACAGTCACTTTGCAGAATGGAGTGATGATGTATTTTGAAGAAGAAAGCAAAAATGAACAATAATTCTACCCCTATAGATAAACAAATTTCCTACCCTTTTTAACTTTGCATATATACATATATATATATAATTTTTAAACGAAATTAGGACCATATTTATATGTCTCCATTTTTGTGCCCTACTGTTCTTTTCTCAACATTTAAACATTTTCAAACCAACGGAAAAGTTGTAAGAGTAGTAAAAAGAATAACGGAAATAGTCTTCACAACTGTTAACCAGTAGCCACGTTAAAAAAAAAAAAAAAGAAAAGAAAACTCTTTATATTCATCTTCTTTTTATTTCTGAACTGTTTGAAACGTCAGAATTTAAAACATCATGACACTTCAGCTTGAATATTCTAATAGCAAGGACATTGACTTAACCACAATACAATGATCACCAATGAAATTTAATATTGATATGCTGCTATTATTACATTACTGTCATCTAGCAAATAGTCCAAAGTCCTCAGTTGTCCTGGTAACTTAGTAATTTCTTTTCTTTTATTTCTTTTTTTTTTTTTTTTTTTTGAGTTGATGCCTCTCTCTGTCGCCCAGGCTGGAGTGCAGTGGCATGATCTCTGCTCACTGCAATCTCTGCTTCCCGGGTTCAAGCGATTCTGCCTCAGCCTCTGGAGTAGCTGGGACCGCAGGTGCACACCACCACACCTGGCTAATTTTTGTATTTTTTAGTAGAGACGGGGTTTCACCGTGTTGGCCAGGATGGTCTCGATCTCCTGACCTCAGATCCACCACCTGCCTTGGCCTCACAAAGTGTTGGGATTACAGGTGTGAGCCACCGCACCCAGCCTCTTTTCTTTTTTTTGGTTCAGGATCCAGTGAGGGATCATTATTTGTTGCTTGGTTGCCATGACTCTTTAGTCTCCTTTAATCCAGAACAGTTTCTTTTCTCTCTCTCTCTCTCTCTCTCTCTCTCTCTCTCTCTCTCTCTCTCTCTCGATGTTGACATTTTGATGAGATTAGCTTTTTAAGAAACTCTCTTCTTTATTTGGATTTGTCTGATTGTTTCTTCATGGTTAGATTTAGGCTGAATATTTTTGGTGGGATACAATACTTGTGATATACTTCATTACTTAGTTTTAAATCATCTCAGGTCATTAACTATTTTTTAAAAACAGGATTTTTGAATTACTGCATAAAAATTTATCATACAGATGCATAATAATTTTTTAAACCATTCTCAGCTGCACATTTATGTAATTAAAAACCTGGTATTCTACATAGTGCTTTAATACACATCTTAACTTATAAATTCCCATCTGTGATAATTTCTTCAGTTGAAATTTCTAGATGTAGAATTACTGAGTTAAAGGAAGAAGTATTTGATACATGTTGCAAAATTTGTGGGGGTTTTTAATTTTTGGTTTTTTTTGAGACAGAGACTGACTGTCGCCCAGGCTGAAGTGCAATGGTGTGATCTCAGCTCTCTGAAACCTCTGCCTCCCAGGCTCAAACCATCCTCCCACCTCAGCCTCCCGAGTAGTTGGGACTATAAGGTGCATACCACCATGCCTGGCTAATTTTTGTATTTTTGTTAAAGATGAGGTTTTGCCATCTTGTCCAAGCTGGTCTTGAATTCCTGGGCTCAAAGGGGTTGTCCCACCTCGGCCTCCCAAATTTCTGGGATTGCAGGTATGAGCCAGTGTGCCCAGCCCACATGTTGCAAAATTGACTGCTCTTTTTACCTGCATTTGCACCCATTAGCAATGTAAGAAGGACCCAAAAATGTTACCTTAAAATATAATTGTATAAATATATTTTATACAGTATATCTGAAATTATAAGGTAGCAGCTTCTGTAATGCAATATTAAAAGTACTTTCTAAAGCATTTTCAAAATTTATTGTGGCCAAGCATGGTGGCTCACACTTGTAATCCCAGCACTTTGGGAGGCCAAGGTGGGAGGATCACTTGAGCCCAGGAGTTCGAGACCAGCCTGGGCAACATAGTGAGACCCAGTCTCTAAGTAAGAAAAAAAGAAAAAAAATTAATTCTTATGCAGAAACCCCAAGTAGCTTTTTAAGACATTATAGATGACAAATGGTTATGTTTATTATGTAATGTATATTGCTTATAAAATCAAGATATTACAAAACTTTAATTACTTGTTTATGTGTTTTCAATTACAGGTTTTTTCTTAGTTTGCTGCCTAAAAGTACACCAAATGTGACATCCTTTCACCAGTATAGATTACTTCATACCACATTGTCAAGGAAAGGACTAGAAGAATTTTTTGATGACCCAAAAAACTGGGGGCAAGAAAAAGTAAAATCTGGTGAGATATTTGGATTGGTCAGCATTCAATACATTTATTGAACTCCCCCCAGTCATTCTAGGATTATTTATCCAGTTCAGGAATTATTTAGATGTTTCCTTTTTCGTTCTTCTTTGGGACTGCTCCCTAGAGAAAGTTAAAAGGAGAATATAATAGTTGAGTTAATTGTTCTTCAGCAGATTGGCAGGATGGTCAGAAAAGGAATAGGTTGGAATTATTGACTAAGGTAAGGTTTAGGGCTTATTTTAGATTTTATTTTTTAGTGATAATTAAAAATTTATTTATTTATTTATTTATTTATTTATTTATTTTTTGAGACGGAGTTTCGCTCTTGTTACCCAGGCTGGAGTGCAATGGCGCGATCTCGGCTCACCGCAATCTCCGCCTCCTGGGCTCAGGCAATTCTCCTGCCTCAGCCTCCTAAGTAGCTGGGATTACAGGCACGCGCCACCACGCCCAGCTAGTTTTTCGTATTTTTAGTAGAGACGGGGTTTCACCATGTTGACCAGGATGGTCTCGATCTCTCGACCTTGTGATCCACCTGCCTCGGCCTCCCAAAGTGCTGGGATTACAGGCTTGAGCCACCGCGCCCGGCTTAAAAATTTATTTATTTAGAGACAGAGTTTCGCTCTTGTTACCCAGGCTGGAGTGCAATGGCATGATCTCAGCTTACTGCAACCTCTGCCTCCCGCGTTCAAGCAGGTTCTCCTGCCTCAGCCTCCTGAGTAGCTAGGATTACAGGCATGCACCACCATGCCCAGCTAATTTTGTATTTTTAGTAGAGATGGGGTTTCTCCATGTTGATCAGGCTGGTCTCGAACTCCCGACCTCAGGTGATCTGCCCACCTTGGCCTGGCCAAAAAGTTAATTTATAATGACATAACATATTTTGTCATTAAGGTGTGAAAATACATTCTGTACTAATGCTAACATTTTTTTAATGCTATTGCCAGTCATGTTAATAGTATTTTTGTATGTTACCTAATTTATCCCTAATTACACATTATGTTATATACTATACAAAAGCAATTATATATTTTACAGATAAGGAAACAGGCTTAGACAGGTTTAGAGAGCTTCAATAATTTGCCAAAGGGCACATGGCTAGAAATATTATTTCATATTATGTATTGTCATTTTAATAGGAGCAGCATGGACCCGTCAGCAACTAAGGAACAAAAGTAATGAAGATTTACATAAACTTTGGTAAGTATACTAAATACATTAACATCTAGACATTTGAAGCAGTTACAGTGTACCAATGAGGTAAAAACTAAATCTATGTGATATAAGAAATTGAGTAAAGTGATTTGTGTTATAGTACTATGGATGATAAATCTGATGTTTAAGATCATGAAAAATTTTTATGTGACAGGTTAGATTATGACAAATGTCACAGTTCTCAAGTAGTTGGAGATTTAGAAATTTTACTATCTTACGTTAGTCCTACTAACCTTTATACTAGCAATTTCAGTCAGTTAATAAAATGAAACAGGGAACAGTTGGTTGCTGGTTTTTTCTTTGAGACAAGGTTTTGCCTGTTGCTCAGGCTAGAGTGCAGTGGCACAGTCATGCCTTACTACAGCCTTGACCTCTTGGGCTCAAGTGATCCTCCCACCTCGGCCTCCCAGCATGCTGGGATTACAGGCTTAAGCCACGTCGCCCAGCCATTGCTTATATTTAGAATTCTCTCCTTTTCATTACATTTTCAGGGTCTGTAATCTTTAGCTTATTTGCTTTGGAAGGGTGTGTTGGAGGTTGCATTTAATTGAGAATTTAGGTAGATTTTTCTGGCAGGCTCTGATGAATTAGAGAGGGTTGAGAGGATTTAAGACAGGGTTGAATTTTAATGTACTATCTTCAGCCCAAAGATACATTTTGTTTGGACCATAATTGCTTTTTAAGTTGGGAAGTTTCACACAAAAAATACTATTTCTGTCTGCTCTTGAATAATGTGACCTGTGATTTGGCAACACTGGCCCTGCATTGCTACATGGCAACAACTTGGCTGGTCTGTGGAGCAGCTGCCCCTTCTGGATGGAGCAGGGACACACCGCTTCTCACCTGCCCTGTGGTTCTTTCACCGTGTCTGCTTCCTTCATCATCGTTACCTGCCTAGACACTCTAGTAGACATTGACTTTGGTCTTGACCTCCTGACCTCAAGTGATCTACCTGCCTCACCCTCGGAAAGTGCTGGAATTACAGAAGTGAGCCTCTGTACCCGGCCCCAACTCTTATTCTCAAACAGATATATTCAGAAGATCTGTCTTTACTTTAGCTCTGCTGCTTCAGTACCTTTGATTGTGTGTGCTCTGCTCTCCTTCTATCATATATTCCATCTCCTCTATGAATCTTTCCCTGGTCATCTTAGCTAGAAGAGATGTTTCTCACTCCCCCACTTAATTTTTCTAGTGCTTATCATCTGTCCCACTAACTATGCCACACCACATTACAGTTTCAGAAGCAATACAGTGGAATTAAAATAGAATGGATTTTGTACACAGAGAGTCGGAGATTTGAATCTTGAATTACCTGTGTGACCCAGCATACCTTACTTCTCTTGGCCTTAGCTTCTTCATTTAGTAAGTGGAAATAGTACCAACCTCAGAAGGTGGTTGTGAGAACTAAATGAAATAAGTGTATATAAAATGCTTAACACACTGTGTGGTATATAATAAATAGTAGATGTTATTTGTCTTCCATCTCCTTCTCTACTCTTCACTTGGAATGCAAGGGCTGTGTCTTATGCCTCTTTATAATTCCCTTAGCACTTAATACATGTGGCACATGGAAAGTTTATTAAACAAATGGATAAGCAAAGATGGTTGGTTATGTATAAAGGATTATTCTTTGTAATCGTATTCTGTATATTGAGATTTCTAATAAGACCTTTTGTTTTGAGACAAGATCTCATTTTATCCCCAGGCTGGAGTGTAGTAGTGTGATCATAGCCCACTATAGCTTCGAACTACCAGACTCAAGCAGTCTTTCTGCCTCAGTCTCTCAAATAGTCTCTCAAATAGTATGTGCCCCCATGCCCGGCTAATTACATTTTTTATTTTTTGTAGAGATGGAGTCTTACTGTGTTGCCCAGCCTGGTCTTGAACTCCTGAGGTCAAGCAATCCTCCCACCTCAGCCCCCAAAGTTCTGGGATTACAGGCATGAGCCACAGCACCTCGCCCCTAAGTGCCTTTCAAGTACAGATAATTATTTTTGATGTTAGAAATCACAGCTTTGTTAATATAACCACAGCATACCTTCACAAGGTCTGCGTTCTTTTGTATAGGTATGTCTTACTCAAGGAAAGGAACATGCTCCTAACCCTACAGCAGGAGGCCAAGCGGCAGATATTGCCAATGCCAAGTCCAGAGCGGCTGGAGAAGGTAAAGACTGGGGAGGCTGGAGAGGTTGCCAGTGCCCAGTCCAGAGCGGCTGGAGAAGGAAGGACTGGGGAGGCTGGAGAGGTTGTGAGTGCCCAGTCCGGAGCGGCTGGAGAAGGAAGGACTGGGGAGGCTGGAGAGGTTGCGAGTGCCCAGTTCAGAGCGGCTGGAGAAGGAAGGACTGGGGAGGCTGGAGAGGTTGCGAGTGCCCAGTCCAGAGCGGCTGGAGAAGGAAGGACTGGGGAGGCTGGAGAGGTTGCCAGTGCCCAGTTCAGAGCGCTGGAGAAGGAAGGTCTGGGCCGCGGGATTACAGCAAAAAGGAGTGGGGGTGTGGTTCCTGTATTACTTGTCAAATAGATTTTTTTTTTCTTATTTCGGTTTGATTTTTAGTAAATTTGAGTAGTGCAAGCAGCACAGCTCATTTGGAAACATTTCCATGGCCCCTAAAAGAAATCTCATACTCATCAGTAGCCATTCCTCATTCCCACCTGCAACTTTTTTTCCTTTTGTGGCAGGGAGTGTCTCACTCTGTCGCCTAGTCTGGAGTGCAGTGGTGTGATATCATGTATCACTGCAACCGCCACTTGCCAGGTTCAAGTGATTTTCCTGCCTCAGCCTCCCAAGTAACTGGGTTATAGGCGCGTATCACCACACCCAGCTGATTTTTGTACTTTTGGTGTAAGTGGGGTTTCACCATGCTGGCCGGGCTGATCTCAAACTCTTGACCTCAGGTGATCCACCTCCCTTAACCTCCCAAATCTGCAACTTGTGACATACTTGTGGACAAATGTTTTTATTTGAGTAGATACCTAAGAGTCAGATTGCTGGCTCACGTGATAAATCTATGTTTGACGTTGTGAGAAGCTGCCGAGCTGTTTCCCGAAGTAGCTGTACCGCTTTACATTTCCACGTCTGGTTTAACTGTTTCCTTAGTAACTAGATTAATTTTTCACTGCTTTTTAAAATACTGTGGTAAAAAAAATCACATCACATAAAATTTACCATCTTGACCATTTTTAAGTGTAAGAGTCAGTAGTGTTTAATTTATTTACAGAGTGTGAAAGGTTGGTTACTTTTTAAATTCACTTTTCTTTCTTATTAAAAGAATGATCCCTTGTGTATTTGTTCCCATTCTCAGAGGTAATCAATCTTACATGTTTTGCATTCATTCTTCAAAGTTTTTCTGTACGTGTAGAAGTATATCTAATTGTTTTTATTTATATAAATTTGGTTATAATCTTTTTAAACTTGAATTTTTCACCTATGTAATATATCCTGGGTATCTTTTCACATCAGTATGAGATCTACATCTTTTAAAAGTATGTTTAAGATAATTTTCCACATGGAAGACTTATGATTACATTTAGATTTAGGCTTTTACTAGATTGCTTTCAAGATGCGCCCTTTATTGATTTTTCTGTGCCATTGTAAGTAGTGGGAACGGAACTCAGTTTCTGTGATAGCATTAGTCCTGCCGTCTCTGGTGACCTCAGCTACTTTAGCTTCCCTTCCTCACCAGTCACAGCCATTGTTACCACACTGCCCTTAAGATGGAAGGACATAGCAATCCCTGGAGAAAATCAAAGAAGGTATAGAATAAAACCTCATTGATTTGCCCTAATTATGGAGGTTATTCTGATGTAGTGAAAGTTGAATCATATAACGTTTTTGTTCTTTTTTTTTTTTGAGATGGAGTCTTGCTTTGTCTCCAGGCTGGAGTGCAGTGGCTTGATCTCCGCTCACTGTGACCTCCACCTCCCAGGTTCAAACGATTCTCCTGCCTCAGCCTCCTGTGTAGCTGGAATTAGTGGTGTGTGCCACTGTGCCCAGCTAATTTTTGTATTTTTAATAGAAATGGGTTTCTTCATATTGGCCAGGCTGGTTTCAAACTCCTGACCTCGTGATCCTCCCATCTCGGCCTCCCAAAGTGTTGGGATTATAGGTGTGAGCCACCACGCCCAGCCATATTTTCATTCTTTTATCTTTATTTTGACAAAATCTTAGATTCTCAGAAAAATTGTAAGAATAGTAGAAGGAATTCTCATATGCCCTCTGCCCAGATTCCCATGTGACTGACTGTTTTACTGCATTTACCTTATCCTTCTATGAGACTATCACCCCTCCACACACACTGTTTTTTCTCAAATGTTTGAGAGTGAGTTGTACATGTGACATCACTTTATCTATAAAAACTTAAGAGAAACCAGGTTATTCCTTTGTATAACCACTATATAATTTTCAAAATCAGGAAATTAACATTGATACAATATTATTAGCTGAATCTACAGGTCTTATTTAGAGACTATCAGTTATCCCAACAGTGTCTTTTATGGCAAAAGAAAATTCCGCATCATGAATTTTCACGTATCTCTTTAGTCTCCTTTAATCTGGAAACTCAGTCTTTCTTTGTGTTTCCTGACAGTGAAATTTTTTTAAAGTATAGGGCCTGGGAGATTGAGGCTGTAGTGAGCCATGATTGTGCCAGCATACTCCAGCCTGGGTGACCCAGCAAAACCCTGTCTCAAAAAATAAAAAAAAAGTGCAATGACAAGTAAGGATGCTTTATAAAGAACACATTGTTTATTTGATGAACAAGTTTTGGCTATAATGGGGCTGTTACGGAACTTTTGAACGTCAACAGTGGATTGCTTTGAATCTGTATTTCAGAGGCGAACTCCAGCCCAACAGGTCATATCTACTGGACTTTCTGAATCAGTAACCCAACATAATAAAAATTTACTCCAGATAAGCTGAAAGTGACCATGATTTTTTCAAACTTCAAATATATCTGGTGTTTCCAGTGTTTTGTGACATACCACTAAGGAAACTTTATTAAGAAAAAAATTTTTTTTAAAAAATTTGCAATGTAAGATAGAAACTGAAGATCTGAAACTGTCTAAGGAAGAGTAAAAGAGAAAAGAAGAATTGTAATTGGTATGTAGTTCCTATCACTCGGCTGATCTGAGTTGATACCCAGTTCAAGCATATTACAGACAAATTTTACTTACAGAATAATATGAAAATTAAGGGAGAAATGTTATAATTCTGGCAGAATAGTTAGCTATGATTATAACTAAAGTAGTAACTCTCCATCTGAGATATATATCCTGACTCTGTGCTTCTTTTCGGAGTATTAGTACCTATTTATCACCCAAATAAATGATGTTATGTTAGTCCCCTTGTGTTTGAAATACAGAAAAAAGGCAAATGATAAAAGATAGATTACAATTTTGCAAGTGTATCTCTTTGTTTCTTTTTTAAAAATGTGTTTCAAGGGCTACTCTGTAATTAATTCTTGGCTATAAATAGAAGTGTATATTGTGCCGGGTAAGAACCCTGGAGCATAGTTCTGTTAGTTTTATATTCTCTCAACTGGAGCTCTTTGCACTGAGAAACTTACAAACTAGAGAAGAAGGCTCTTTGAGGTTGACTTGTTTTCAGTAAGGTATATCTAAATAACACTTTTGGTTTTCCTTGAACTGTTGAATGTGAATTCTGTGGGCTTCATAGCCATTTACTTTCTATCTTTGTGAGCTAACATTGGATTTCAGCTAGAAGCCTCAATCTTACCCTTGCTTAGGCAAACTGCTTAACATAGTCAACAACCAGATTTATTAAAAATTTCTAAAGATTAGAGAGTTTTATATAAAGCCCTTATCAGTGTGGTCCCTTTTCTCCTAAGTTTGTCTTCAAAATAGAATTTGTCTTAGTCATCTTTTCTTTTTCAGGGATTTAGTAGAAAGTAAAATAGGTGAGAGGAAGGCATGTGAACCCAGCTACTGTGTCGCGTAGTGAAGTTGAGGATTGCGGAAGTGCTGAGTGTGTACACAGCAGGTTTTGGGCCGGGCGCAGAGGCTCACGCCTGTAATCTCAGCGCTTTGGGAGGCCAAGGCAAGCAGGTCACTTGAGCCCAAGGAGTTGGAGACCAGCGTGGGCTACATGTCAAAACCCCATCTCTACCACAAAAATACAAAAATGAGCCGGGCGTGATGGCATGTGCCTGTAGTCACAGCTACTGGGAGGCTGACGTGAGAGGATTGCTTGAGCCTGGGAGGCAGAGGTTGCAGTGAGCCAAGATCATGCCACTGCACTCCAGCTTGAACGACAGAGCTAGACCCTGTCTCAAAACCAAAACAGATTATGAAGTAATTTTATCTAAATCTGTGGCTTTCACGTTTTTCAGATCTCATAGCTACTTGGGAGATTATAATCTGTGCTTTTTTTTTTTGGAGATGGAGTCTCGCTCTGTAGCTCAGGCTGGAGTGCAGTGGCGCAATCTCAGCTCACTGCAACCTCTACCTCCTGGGTCCCCATTCAAGCAGTTCTTACCTCAGCCTCCTAAGTAGCTGGAATTACAGGCACGAGCCACCATGCCCAGCTAATATTTGTATTTTTCAGTAGAGACGGGGTTTCACCATGTTGGCCAGTCCAGTCTTGAACTCCTGACCTTGTGGTCCGCCTGCCTCAGCCTCCCAAAGTGCTGGGATTACAGGTGTAAGCCACCGTGCCTGGCCATAATCTGTGCTTTCTTTGAGGATTTTTATGAGAAACAAATGTACTTATGCAGTATTTGATACCTGTTGTGATGCTCAAGGGTGATACAGATAAAATAGCTCTCAGTATGTATTTAGAACTATGAAAACGTTTGGTCCATCTCACGTTTCAATCCCCAACATACAAATATTTATTTTGTTTTGTGTTTGGTTTTGTTGCTGTTGTTGTTGTTGTTGTTGTTGTGTGTGTTTTTTTTTTCTTTTTAAAATTTTTATTTTGTTACACGGAGTTTTGCCCTTGTTGCCCAGGCTGGAATACAATCTCCACTCACTGCAACTTCCGCCTCCCTGGTTCAGGCAATTCTCCTGCCTCAGCCTCCCGAGTAGCTGGGATTACAGGCGTGCGCCACCACGCCCAGCTAATTTTGTATTTTTAGTAGAAACGAGGTTTCTCCATATTGTGGTCAGGCTGGTCATGAACTCCCAACCTCAGGTGGTCCTCCCGCCTCGGCCTCCCAAAGTGTTGGGATTACAGGAGCCACCATGTCCAGCCATGAATATTTATATATAAACATATATAAGGCTGGGTGTGGTGGCTCGTGCCTGTAATCCCAGCACTTTGGGAGGCCAAGTTGGGCGGATCATCCGAGGCCAGGAGTTTGAGACCAGCCTGGACAACATGGTGAAACCCTATCTCTACTAAAAATACGAAAAATTAGCTGGGCATGGTGGAGGGCACCTGTAATCCCAGCTACTTGGGAGGCTGAGGTGGAAGAATCACTTGAATCCGGGAGGTGGAGGTTGCAGTGAGCCAAGATCACACTACCACTCCAGCCTGAGCAACAGAGAGAGACTCTGTCTCAAAAAAATATATATATAAATATATATACAGATATATGTATATACACATACACCTGTTACTCTGCAAATATATACATTATAACACCATAGAAATCTTAAAGTGATAAAAAGAAATAGAAGTTTAATAGTATCATCCTGCATCTTGATAAATCTTTGGAGATTCATATCTGGATGGACTGTATTCCTTTCCCTGTAGCAGCAACAGCTACCAAGCAGGCCACAATATCCATATCTGCATGTCAGAGACACAGTGATTAGTTGAGACCAAAACATATCTTTTTTAAGATAATGAAAATAGCAAGTTGTTACCACTTCTTATTAGCTTATTGAGTTTTGAAATAACATGATTCAGATTGAGTCTCCAAAAAGAATTGATACAAGTGTATCTCACTCCAAACAAAACTAATATATGGAAATAGATTTGTATTTAAATACAGCTATAAGCTTTTTAAAAAATAGAGAAAGTGGCAATATAGACACCCATGTAGACCTACATGTGCCAAAAAGTACTTAACAGAGTGGTTCTTTGGCGTAACTGTTTATCGTTAATTTTTTGTAGCAGAGGTGTCTGTACATTCTCGTTCCTTAAATTTTGTAGTGGGTGATTGTTAGAATTGGGTCTTTCCGTTCTCTTCAGGTAGCAGATTCCTTGGATGCATTAGATACAGTTGTCCAGGAAGATCTTTTTCTTCTCTTTTCAGGTAATAGAGTCCATGGATGCTTTAGATACCGTTGTCCAGGAAAGAGAAGATGCCATAAGGCTTCTTCAGACTGGTCAAGAAAGAGCTCGACCTGGTGCTTGGAGAAGAGACATCTTTGGAAGAGCCATCTGGTATGTGGTTACACGGTGGCTCTTCGAAAATGAGAGTAAAATCCACGCCTCATTTCCCTGCCCAATATCTTAAAAAAAAAAACTTGCACCATATGATAGGTTAGAGATACGTCTAATATGAAAAGAGGTCCCACACCCCTTTCGGACCTTAGTGAAGGAGAATATGAATGAAGGTAGCTTCATCTGGTAAAACCAGCCCAGACCTCCCGTTTCCTGTGATTCAGTCATCTATAAGTCTGTATTGTAGTCGTTCTTAATCTTTTTATTTTTTTAGAACTGAAAGGTCACATATATCTATTACTGAACCCAGGCAACCAAAGCCTTCTTTTTTTTTTTTTTTTTTTAACATGAATAATGGAAGCACTGTGAGTTGTACTAACTAATGCCTTCGTAACAGATCCAGAGAGGAAACTGTTCAGACTTCTCCAGATAGCAGTGACATTTCTCAGCTTGATTTGGTAACACCATTGTGACCTTCAGACAGCATAAATATGTGTGCCATTGCACGTGCAATTCCTCATAGACCCAGCTTGGTTCTTCTCCAGTGTCTCCTTGTGGAGTTGTACCTGATTTCATTACCAGTTTTCATCCGAATCCACTGGGGAATGGGACGATTTTGCTTTTGTTTCTTGGCCAGGAATCCCTTAATCCTGAAAGTCTTGTGAGAAGACATGGTGAGAAACGGAGTAAAGCACTCACCACGAGGACAGAGAAAGGAAGAGAGTGTGGTTCTTAATCTTATGTGAATCACAAGACCTTTTGAGAATTTGATGAAAGTTAATTGATAATTTCCCCAGAAGAATGTACGTGTACACGTCACTTCCGAAGGTGTAAAACCCACGAAGCTAACTTCAGCACACACACCTGCCCTCTTTGCCCCTGGAGAACCTGGAACTATTTTTTTAAGTCTCAGGGAATGTCACATGAACCAGTTTCAGTTTGCGCCCGTTGCCCTCAGGATAAGTAAGCCCTACACCAAATTATGAAATAGTCTTTTTAATACCTCCTTGTTGCTCCTACATCCAAATCCCACACTCTTGTCAGCCTTTGGGAAAGGATTTGATAATTCACAGTCATGCTGAGGCATAAGTAACTGAGAAAACCTGGTGTAAATAAACCTCCTTCTGAAGCGAGGCTGTTCAACCCAAGGGTAAATAAACCTCCCCTCAGAAGGAATTTCATTTACCTTTGGGTTGAACAACCAAGATGAAGCATCATTAGACTTTGAACGTAGGCACAACGGGGAAAGCGTTCTGGTTAGAGCCCTTCCCTGTACTCTTGACGTTATGCCATTTATGACTCGTTTGATAGGTTGTTTTAATGGAGTTTGTGGCAACAGGGCTGCTTGGAGCCAAATTGGAGAGTGTGTGCTGTCTGTAACGAGTAAGTTCAAAACAGAAAAGAGAGGAATTGCCAAAGCATCTCACTAAGAGCATTTATCTATTTTATTTTCTACTAATTTTCATTTGGACTAACCCATTTGAGGTAAATTAGGAAAGTGAAATTGTATTAAATGTCTTCTTTAAGGCAAATAACTTTTTGCCTTATTGGCAGGCACAAGTTCAAGCCGTGGCCTTTACCTTGGCACCTAAATAAAAGATACAATAGGAAACGATTCTTCGCAATGCCGTATGTGGACCGTTTTCTCAGGTGAGCACAAGTACCCTTAATAATAAAATATGTTATCTTTATACCAGATGACATATGTTAAGCTTTCTTTAAATTTTAATTTCTGTTATTACATAAGAAATTTAAAAAATAGGAAAGTCAGGTAGAAAGAAAAATTGAAGTAATATATAAGCTCACCTTCGGAAAAGCAACTGTTGGCTAAGCATGGTGGCTCACGCCTGTAATCCCAGCACTTTGGGAGGCTGAGGCAGGTAGATCACTTGAGGTCAGGAGAGTTCAAGACCAGCCTGGCCAACGTGGTGAAAACCTGTCTCTACTAAAAGTACAAAAATTAGCCCGCCGTGGTGGTGTGCACCTGTAATCTCAGCTGCTTAGAAAGCAGAGGCACGAGAATCGCTCGAACCTGGGAGGCGGAGGTCACAGTGAGCTGAGATTGCACCACTGCACTCCAGCCTGGGTGACAGAGAGAGACTCTGTCTCCAAAAAAAGGGAGAAAAAATAGCCACTGTTAACATTATAGTATGTAGTATGTATCATTTCTTTTTTTTTTTTTTTTTTTTTTTTGAGACAGAGTTTTGCTCTCGTTACCCAGGCTGGAGTGCAATGGCGCGATCTCGGCTCACCGCAACCTCCGCCTCTCGGGTTCAGGCAATTCTCCTTCCTCAGCCTCCTGAGTAGCTGGGATTACAGGCACGCACCACCATGCCCAGCTAATGTTTTATATTTTTAGTAGAGACGAGGTTTCACCATGTTGACCAGGATGGTCTCGATCTCTTGACCTTGTGATCCACCCACCTCGGCCTCCCAAAGTGCTGGGATTACAGGCTTGAGCCAACGCGCCCGGCCTAGTACGTATCATTTCAAAAGTTTTAATCCCTTTCTATTATTCTATCTATATGTATATAGAAAACTTTCTACTGTTATATGAAAATGAAGGCCCAAATAATTGGACTGCATATAATGTGACTTCATGTTACTACAAGGCTGTTGAAAAAGGGCGTGGAAGAGAAGTCTGTTGTATTATATCTAAACCCATGAAAAAATAAATAAACTCATGTTATCCTGAAGAATGTTGATCTCCAAATATTTCCTCTAGCACATTTTTCCTTCATGAGGTTGTAACAGGAGCGGCCGCGAGAAACGGAGCTCTCAAACACGGAACGGGGAAGGAAGGGGTTTATTATTGCAGCCCGGAGCAGGCGATGATTTGTCTAAACCCAGCTCGTCCAACAAAGAAAGGTTTTGTCTTTATATAGGCTTACACTCTAGAGCAGGCGTCCCCAAACTACGGCCCCCCGCCGCACTTCAGAAAGGGACACCTCTTTCATTGGTGGTCAGTGAGAGGAGCACAGTATGTGGCGGCCCTCCAACGGTCTGAGGGACAGTGAACTGGCCCCCTGTGAAAAAGTTTGGGGACGTTTGCTCTAGATATTACACATGAAAGAATCTTAGGTTTACAGCCTTAGAAATCACGAGTGAAAGGGTTTTGCATTTACAGCTTTAGGAATCACATGTGAAAAGGATCTTGTTTAAGTAAAAAGTGTCTTCCAGAGAGTTTCCCCAATACCAAGCGTGTTCTTTACAGGAAGGTGATTCAGGAGGTGCCAGGTGGCCAGCCTTTTCTTCTATTGAAATGCAGTGTGGAAGTCAGGGGCGACGTGATCCCTGATGCCTGGGTCTCCTACGGCAAGGTTTATCCCTGAATAGGAAGAACACAGGGCTTCTGTTATGACAGGAGTTCAGTGTTCCATGAACCACTCGCTGATAACCATACAAACTTCAGATTTTTTTTTAAAGAGCTATTTTAAAGAGGCTGGAGTTTAATCCCCAAAAACTGCAAGTAGGAGGGAAACGTACAGCAAGCTTATGGTTTCCTGGGCCAAGGGTGCTACTCAACTCCCTTTGCCGTGGCTCCAGAGACAGGGCAGAGGAACCAAAGAGCTCCTGGCTAAAGGTGCTAGAAATAGAATTCAAAGCTGGGAAAGCAGCTGGAAAATTAAAGGAGAAATCATAGCAGCACAATAGTAGCACAAGAACCACAGCTTTTTTTTGTGTTTTGAGACAGTTTCGCTTGTTACCCAGGCTGGAGTGCAATGGCGCGATCTCGGCTCACCGCAACCTCCGCCTCCTGGGTTCAGGCAATTCTCCTGTCTCAGCCTCCTGAGTAGCTGCGACTACAGGTGTGCACCACCATGCCCAGCTAATTTTTTGTATCTTTAGTAGAGATGCGGTTTCACCATGTTGACCAGGATGGTCTCGATCTCTTGACCTCGTGATCCACCCACCTCGGCCTCCCAAAGTGCTGGGATTACAGGCTTGAGCCACCACGCCCGGCCTTCTGAGTATTCTTAAAAACAGCAAAACTTTTTCCTTTCAGATGGGTTATGTTTTGTAAATGGTGAAAATTTAGTTGGAGCAAAGATTGATGAATAGAATGGGTGATCTCATTTTGACTTTGTTTAGTCTTACTTTTTCTTCCCCGTGTATGTGCGTTTTTACTTCATCCAGCTGTAATACTGGTTCTCTCAAATTTCTGTGGCCTTTCCCATAGTACTGGCATATTGTAATCTTTTTTTTTTCCCCAAAAAACTGGTAACTTCAGCAGTACATCTCTTTGTTATATTTATATAAGCTTATTTCTATTCATCAGTATCCTCTAAGATAGTAATTTAACTATAGTAGAGGCTTGGTATCCAAGGATTTTTTCATTTTCAATTTTTACAACTCCTATGTTGACAGGTCAAGTAATTTATGTTGTGATTTATGCAGCAGATGTGTCATGCCCTGGGATACTGATGTGTGGGAACAAACTCTAATTAAAGTAATAGTAAGCCTAGCCAGAGCCTAAGAATCATCTCTTAGCAAGGTGTTAGGTTGTCCTTCTGTCGTGTTTTAGAAACCCTATAATTTTATGGAGCACATTAGATTTTTGACATCCTGAGATATATCCTGAAACTTGTAGGAATTCCCTACTTTCAAATACTATTCACTCTAGCTTATCATTTCCCCGATAAACAGAGAGAATAACACCCTGCTGAGAGATGAAGCTGTCATAACAGGATTGAATTTAAGGCCCAGACTGTTACAGGTTCATAAGATCTGGACATTCTTTCTAGTCAGGAAATAAGAGGGATATAGTTGGTATAGGGTTTCAGGTGCTCTGGACTTGTGTAGGTTTACAGTGATTACTATTCAAGTTTAATAATATACAGAACACACCAAGTACAGAGACTGGCATGTTTGAGGCTTTGATGTAATTGATTTATGCATAGTTTGATAGTATTGAATAATAGGGAAATACTTTTGTATAAATTGCTGTTATGCTTTTTTTTTACTCTAGATTGGAACGTGAGAAACGAGCCCGCATCAAAGCACGGAAGGAAAATTTAGAGAAAAAGAAAGCAAAAATTCTTCTAAAAAAGTTTCCACATCTCGCGGAAGCCCAGAAGTCAAGTCCTGTCTAAGAAGTCTGAACTCTTGGGTCGGGCGCGGTGGCTCAAGCCTGTAATCCCAGCACTTTGGGAGGCCTAGGCGGGTGGATCAAGAGATCGAGACCATCTTGGTCAACAAGGTGAAACCCCGTCTCTACTAAAAATACAAAAAATTAGCTGGGCATGGTGGTGCGTGCCTGTAATCCCAGCTACTCAGGAGGCTGAGGCAGGAGAATTGCTTGAACCCAGGAGGTGGAGGTTGCGGTGAGCCGAGATCACGCCATTGCACTCCAGCCTGGGTAACAAGAGCGAAACTCCGTCTCAAAAAAAAAAAAAAAAAAAGAAGTCTGAACTCTTAAATTTACCATTTTGTTTTTCTTGCGTAAGTCTGTGTATAAGAGTAAATAAATACATGTTAAGTGGTTTATAAAGAAGTTCTGTTTTTAGTCAAGTGACTTCACCGATTAGTTGTTTCTGAGTGTTAATATGGCATGCTAATTAGCTAATTTTTTTTCTAAAAATCAAGTAAAAAGTTCAGATTAAATTCCCAGTTTATAATTTCTGACATTTAAGCAGGCTTCAATGTCACCTGCATAACTGCCACAGCAAAGGCAATACCGTAGTTTCTGAACTTGGGTAACTCTATTGTTAACAGGATATGAAGAGGATGTGGGTACTGCTGTTAATAAACAGTACTTTGATTCAAAATAATGATAATACATTTAGTCCTTAAAGTAGTAAGTCACAATGTACAACAGTCCAAAAAATATTTCTGGAATGGCTAATTTTTATTTAATTATGTAAGCCTAAGGTAAAAAGCATAGGCAGTTACTTTTACTAGTCAATAAAAAGCAATCCTACCAATCCACTGGTAATTCATATACTAAACAGAGTTGGAAAGCATTTTACTGAAAGCAAAATATTTAGAGAAAATAGACATTTATACAAAATTATAAAATGCTTGTAATAAGAATAAGTACATTTCAAGGAAAGCACAAACTTATCTTAATTTATAGAGCCAGTTAAAGCCTTAAAAAATTTAAGTGGAAATTGAAATATGCAAAAATGTATAAACATTCTACAAAAGATGGTCGTTCTTTTCCTGAGTATACTAAAGCTATGAAACGTAAGGTGACAAAGGAAGGTAGAAACGGGAGCTCTTTCTCAAGGGCATTTTCTTTCTACACACTGCTTCCCTCCTTCTTCATATTCTTGTTTGGAAATCCACATCTGCTGAAAGGTACCCTGTAAAATGGAAAGAAATTTATATAATTAATTATGGCTGGCTTCTTACTAGAAATGGCTTTTTTATTTTTTGAGAGAGGGTCTTGCTCTGTCAGCCAGGCTGGAGTGCAATGGCGTGATCGTAGCTCACAACAGCCTCTAGTTCCTTGCTTGGTTCAAGGGATCCTCCCACCTCAGCCTGGGACTCCAGAGGCATGCCACCATGCCTCATTTTTAATTGATGTCAGGATGGGTCTCACGGTCTTGCCCTCCTGGGCATATGTGACCCTCCTGCCTCAGCCTCCCAAGGTGCCAGGATCAGAGGTGTGAGCCACTGCACCAGCCTTTTTTTTCTTGTAACATCTTATTTTCACAACTCCTAAACTTTGAAGAATTCATTTAAGAATCCTGTCCTCCAGGGAAAATGTGGCACATATACACCATGGAATATTATGCAGCCATCAAAAACGATGAGTTTGTGTCCTTTGTAGGGACATGGATGAACCTAGAAACCATCATTCTCAGCAAACTGACACAAGAGCAGAAAATCAAACCCAGCATGTTCTCACTCATAGGCGGGTGTTGAACAATGACAACGCATGGACACGGGGAGGGGAGCATCACACACAGGGGTCTGTTGGCGGGGACTAGGGGAGGGACAGCAGAAGGTGGGGAGTTAGGGGGAGAGATAGCATGGGGAGAAATGCCAGATATAGGTGATGGGGAGGAAGGCAGCAAATCACACTGCCATGTGTGTACCTATGCAACAGTCTTGCATGTTCTTCACATGTACCCCAAAATCTAAAATGCAATTAAAAAAAAAAAAAATCCTGTCCTCCAAAATAGTACTCAATTATTCTCTTCTTCTTTCTGCCCTCCTCCACAACCATCCAAACACACTATTTAGCCTTGCCTTTATGGTTAGAAAGAATACTAAGTTCTTCTGTCTCTTACATTACACATGCTTTAGAAAATATTGGCAAGGAAGACTAAGGGTTTAGGTATGATGGCTTGATGCCACCCTAAGGCAGTAACAGGAACTGTAGGAAGGCTTGACTGGGTACTTAATGACATTGACTTTTGTTGCTCTGAGGTAAAGTGCATCCTCCCCCTTTATATACAGTATATATGTAAGTATACCATGCACAGATATGTGTAGAAATCTACTGTATATAAAGGGAGAAACGCTCTCAGTCCAGGATGCAGAAAAGGACAAGGAGTTTTTCTCCTTAGTCAAGGTAGACGCTACTTAGACCCAGCACCATGACTTCACCATTTGCTCCCACCAATTCCTGTCTTCCTGTACTCACTGGGAGACCTGGGAATGACCAGAACTTGAGAAGGAATGATTTAATTTTAAATGCACTCCAGACAAGCCCTGACCAGTGCCAGTGGGGGTGTTATTAGAAAAGGTATGCATACATTAACGTATTTTCATCTCTTTTTGAGAAGGGAAATTGAAATTAGGGTGACAAATGTCCACTATTTAGGCAAAGAGGCATTCTGTTACATCAGAACACATAAAACTGGTTATTCTATTAGGTCCTCCACTCATTTGACAGTTATAAAATGCAAAGATAAATGAAGCACTGGAATTATTTTTAGTATTTTTACTAAATTTAGTATAATTCAGTAAGAATATTTTTGCAAAGTAGCTCATTCACTAACCAAGGAGGCTAGAATGGAGCCACCAATCCAGGAGCTAAACCTCCGTTCCACCGTTGTATTATTTGCAATCAATTTCAACCGCATACTCTGAAACAGAGAGAAGAATGCACATTATACAATCAAATCTTATGACTCAGGAAATTCCTTTTTCTTTTTTTTTTTTTTTTAATAGAGACAGGGCCTTGCTCTCCATATTTCCCAGGCTGGTCTCGAACTTTTGCAATTAAGCAATCTGCCCATTTCAGACTCCCAAACTGCTGGAATTACACGCATGAGCCACCGCACCCAGCCAGGAAATTCAATTTTGACAGACTTCTTAATGGTTCCCTGTAGTTCAAACACTGACTAAAATAAGGTAATTTTGAAATAGCTAGGATAACAAGCATAGGTTGGACTAATGTACAGATTTTTTTGAAGTACTTTGATTATGGCTTTTAATATGCAACTGTGTGATAAGAAAACATACAAACTTTAGGAAACTGCATACTAAAGTGTAGCATTCACAATGTCTATCCTAAAAGAGCAAACCCATACCTAACACTATAAATCTGGTACTATACTAAGTCTTTATGTATTATTTTATTTCACCTAACCCAAACATAATTTTTTTTTAAGAAAAATTTAATCTGCATTTTAGTTTGGGATTTTTTTTTTTTTAAGAAAATTTTAATCTACACAAACATAGTCATTATCCCAAGCTGCCTCCCGTTCTGTTGTCCTCCCCAACCTTCTAACTGGTTCCTTTCTAGGCCTTCACACTATCCTAATTCCTCCTTAGTTCACCCCAACCCTTCCAAATAAAAACGCAGCCATTAGATTTGAGGTTAAGTTTTTATTTATACTACTTTCCTTCCAAATCAGTGCTTCTGTTTTGGTTCTCACTTTCTCTTGATAATGTATCACTTTATTGCACAGTACTAGCCCCTATCTCACTTCCTTTATCAAGAGGTTTTTTTCTTCCTACCAAGGAATCTGCCTCTGGGGACAGTTCTCAAGTTGCTGACATCTTCAAATTATTCTATAAATGAACACATTCTGTGAGCTTTTCTAAGTGACAAGTATGTGCAGCAGGGGTAGAGTATGGGATATGGGTGGGTAGAAGGGACTGGGGATAGGGTAAACATGGGTTTTTGTAGGTATGAAAGATTGGTAACTATTAAATAGAGTATTTTTCCTGTTCTTTCACTTAATTATAGAAATGTGGCATATGTAAAACATTATTTTACATGGGAAACCAAGACTATGAAATATACAGATCTACAGATATTGTTGGGCCTATGTAAATGTAACCACTAAGAAGTTTTTTAAATTTAGTACTTAGTGCAGAACAACCTTACAAAAAAACACTTTTAAGTTTTTGTTGTTTTCTGTTTTGTTTTTGTTTTTCCTGAGCTAGAGTCTTGCTGTATCGCCCAGGCTGGAGTGCAATGGCGCCATCTCAGCTCACTGCAACCTCTGCCTCCCAGGTTCAAGCAATTCTCCTGCCTCAGCCTCCCGAGTAGCTGGGACTACAGGCACGTGCCACCACGCCCAGCTAATTTTTATATTAGTAGTAGAGACAGGGTTTCACCAGGTTGGCCAGGCTGGTTTGACCTTGTGATCCACCCACCTTGGCCTCCCAAAGTGCTGGGATTACAGGTGAGAGCCACCATGCCCAGCCAATAGAATTTTTAAATTTAAAGTTAAAGGATTACAACTGTCATTCTGTTATCAAAGTATTATACAAACTACCTCTGAAACCAAGTTTTTCTATTCTTGTAAAAGTTCTTACAATACACCCACTGATCTTTTTAAAACAAACATACGCACTTATCAGCCTACTGCAAGATTTTGTCCTGTGAAGGAAGTATTTTCCCCGTATAGATCCAGCATAGCCCCACTGACACCTTGAGGCTTCTAGCCTCAAGAACTGCAAGACAATAAATTTCAGTTGTTTTAAGCCACTAAACTGTATTTTGTTACAGCAGCTCTAGGAAACGAATCCATCTTTCTAGCCATATCGCTTTCCCCACTTTTGTACAGACTGGAAGCCAACTACTTTAAATTACTGAAACATACCCATCTTCTCTTAATATTTTTGCAAATGGTTTTATTCCATCTAGATATCCTTTCATAAATTAGCAATGAGTTGAACTATTCATTCAAACCATAGCTTCTTAATGAGGCTATCCTCTGATACTCTCAGAGTTAAGCAGTGGCTTCTTGGT